GTGAATATTTGAAGATGGGAATATGATTGCCGCATTAAACAACATAGCAAGCGTTGAAGTAGCTTGACTGGCAGAACCAGCTTGAGGACAAAAGGCTGGACTAGTTTAGTTGGTTGTGCACGGCAAGGGAGATGAAGATGCAGCATTTCTTTTTGAAAGCCACACATGGAGATGCTTCAGGGCAGGGTTTTCGCCGAGGCTACAACAACAGAGACCACGTCAACGCCAAGAACGCCAAAGGGGATCCTGCTTCCGGTCCGAATCGACCTCCGGATCAGACCAATGCTACGGCGGACATCCATGTCTCGCCTGATGGCCGCTTCTTGCAACTTGAAATGACAATGACTGAGCAAGCTGAAAATAGAATTTGGAAGGGGGCTGAGCGCGAGTTTGTGTGTTGTGTGCTTGTGTCTTATGTTTATGTCATATGTTTGTGTCTTATGTTTGTATGTAATATGTGTGTCTTATGTTTGTGAGTGTGCATATGCTTTGTAATATTCAACACATTGGGATGTACACTAGGGGTGAATATATAAGCCCTTCGCTGAAGTAACACAAACTGAACAAAGTACCGTCTTTGCAGACCGACCTTGATGATGCAGGGGATGCACAACCTGCCCTGTTGAGACAGCCTTAGGTGAAATGCGTTGTTTTGGCAGCAAGCCAAGCTGAAGTTTGTTCAACCGATTTTGAGCCCAAACTGCAGGCCGCGAAAGCCTTTGGCTTTAAGCTTGATTCCGGAGGAAGAAGACCCCAGCAAACCTCAGCATCTGCATGCTCTTTATCACCAGATAACGTTCAATCTGGGAAGAGAGGCAGTGCATGGAGGACCGTGGAGAGGGGGCTGCGTTGTTTGCTTGGAGTGCACTTTCGTTTGTTGCTACAAGTCTGTGGTCTTGTTTGCCATTTTTGCCTCGGCGCATCCTGTGCTAGATCTGACACTGGTAGACTTGCCCGGGATCAGTCCTGCTTCGGATGATGAGTCGAAGCGATGTTTGTCACGCGGTTGCCAACGGTTGCCGCGGCTTGCAGGTTGAGGTATCGCGGCTATGGCCAAAAGACAAGGGTCGTCACGGCGCCATGGTGGATTCCCCCGTCCGAGTCCCTCACCTCCTCGGAATCCATCACCGGAACGGACTTGAGGTATGGCTCCAACAGGGGCCACGATAGCCTGGTGTGCTTCAGCATCGGCAGAGACGGCTTGCTGACGCTGGTGGACTTTACCTCCACCGAGGGCGCCTGAGAACGAGGGTAGGGGGGTTGCAACTGCCGCGGAGCTGCTTGACATTGGTCAGTGGGTCAGTAGTGATGGGTCTTGCCAGTCCTTGAACGACCATTTTGAGTTAAGACCAGGCAATCTTTTGCTTTCATCCAGGGTGGTGTTTTGACAAGCGAGACCGGATCAAAACCCCTTGGAGGGAAAGTGGTCCAAGCCCTGGCATGCTCTCCTTTGACTGTTTTCCACCGGCGAGGCAAGGTGAGGCCAGCGGTAGGCATGTCCCACTCGCGCCTTACGTTCTGAAAAAAGCTTACTCACCGCTATTGTTTGACTAGAGCAACAGCTGCTCAACGCAACAAATGGTCAAGCAGCATGCTTCCATTCTGTGAACGTTTTTGCTGGTGTAATAGCTTTCTGATGAAAGAGGAAATGACACCTCACTAGACCTTTGCACGGTTTCATCCAAGATTTGGGCAGAAAGACAAGTCACTTGTTCAGCGTTTCCTGACACTCTCCTGCAGGTGCTGACTTCAATTGAGGATTGGCATGTTCGGCCGTTGTTTATCCATTGTGAACCCGGCAAGCACAAACTCATGCACATCTGCTGCATGAACTTCGTGTATGTGGGTTTTTCATTCCCCCCCCCGTGCCCCCCCCACAGAAGGATCCAAATTGGTTTCAGGCATCGATATGCAACAATCACGAATCATGAACTTCCCCCTGACAACACATGCAGTCCCGCTAATGACCCTAATGATACATGTTGTTGTGGAATCGAGATAGTATCAATAGGGTTCCAGGGATTCCATTTCGGTCCTTGCCCATTCACCTGTTTTTACCAGGCAAAGTAAGTAGCGCGCCGCTCAAGAAATTTGAACAGCTTTGTTTCTAGGTACAACCTGCTACGACTGCAGTTTGTTCGGCGAGGAATTTGTGGATGAAATATGTTTAGCATTGGGCGAAGTCTTCGTCCAGTATTGGGGGAAGGGATTTAGTGTAGTTTGCTTTATTTGGCAAACAGGGTGCATTTATCAACACAGGGCAGATACTGACCCACACAAAGCACTACAGCCATATTTTCTATTCGCTATGCAATTTTCCCAGGTGCTGATGGTGGTGTGCGTTTTACCAACGGTTCCGGTCGCCTCAGGAGCGCACCCTCGGAATTTCAGCATCCATCCTTCGGGCAGCTGGGTCCTGGTGGCGAACCAGGATGCTTGGCCAAGTTGGGGTGTGCCGGCGCGGGAGGCCGTCGATGAAGGTGCCTGGACAAGTCGTTAAGATGAAGATAGGGGCCCGACTTGGAAATGCGAGGCTGAAGTTGACTTCTGCTGTTGGTTCGCTTGCGGGAAGATGGATTCCGTGCTTCTTGATGTTCTGGATAGTCCGGTCAGGGGCTAGCGAATGTCCGTCCTCGAAGCCAGGAACGCATTGGGGCCGAAAGGTAAGGGCAATGTGCTATTCGGCATGACTTTGGGGCACATGCAGCGTGGTAGAAACTAGAATGTCCATGTGAGCTGCCGCCAGCTTACTTGGCAGTGATCAGGGATTCCATTCAGCCACTAGAGGAAGAGTGATGCCTTTTTGGAGCCTGGCTGAAGTAGGCAGCGTGGAATATCCCTGCGGATGAGAGCTGCACATAGGCGCATGAGGCAGAGAAATAGCTGTTGTTTGTTCGGTCATCGTGTTTGAACATTCACCAAAGCAATTTCAGCATCATTGTATCCCATCCTGCTTCTGGTTCTGTGGTTTCACTTGTTTGCTTTGCACTTGGACCCTTGGCCATCTGGCAGTTTGCCCAGATTGCGCCGCAGCATCATCACTGTCATCGTCTCTGCCATAGCCATCGTCTTTATCCTTTGAGAGTGGCTGTGAGACTGCCTGTGATTTATGGCAGCGCCAGGACAGCGACAACGTCGTGGTTTTCCGACGCGACAAAAAGACCGGCAATCTGCAGGATGCCGGTACGCGGGCCACGCTGAAGCAAGCGAGGCCGGGAGGAGTTCGCGATTTCCAACACATTGTGATGCTGGTTTGCTTGAAGACTCCAAAACAAGCCGTAAGCGCATGGCCAACATTCGGAACATTGGCTCGCATCAAAGTGCGTACACAATGTTTAAGTTGTCCAGCTTGTCCACAGGTAGTGTCACTGAGGGACGCATTTGAATCCATGGCAGCATTTAGTTGATTTTGCTTCTTCATGTGAGCGACCTACCAATTTTCCCACAATCGAACATGCATTGACAAGATCAAAACACCCTAAACAAAGTTGAGACTTCGCTGTGAAACGAGATGCCCCCCCCAAAATTAACGAGATCAGAACGAGAGAGTGTTGCAGAAAACCGTGCAAAACAGAGGCTTGTTGTTTGAGCAGACCATTTTACGGTTGTGCAGATCGTGCTAGACTGCTGCGGCAACTCAGATGCTCGGCAGGAGTCAAGTTTTGGTGAAGATCTGCAAGCGGTGGTAGCAGCCAATATTTCCTGCTGCAAGCTTCACGTTTTAGAAACTGAACATTTTCCTTCCCACAACCCGTTTCAATAGCAGCTTGGGAAGGCCCTAACATGCAGCACATGAAATACACCATACACTCTTGTGGTCAATTGAAATTCAGTTGTTTTCCTTTAACAGTTCGCTTTCTCGGGCGATGCATCATGTGGTAAATGCGTGCTTCCTCTTTGCAGCCTGCTGTTTGCTTTCTTTTTTTTGTTGTGGCCTCTTCCACCCACCCTTACTTTCTCCAGAACCGGGAGGAGTGCCTTTTGTCCGTGGTTCTTCTTATAGTGTACCTTGCAGTGTTTGACGATGGTCCTATCTTCGCTCGATCACACAAGCAACCGCTCACACAGAATGGGGTGGCTCCCGCAGGAAGGGAGGCACATTTTCCAGAACGCTTGGTCTGCCACACCAATCCAATGACATGCCGGATTGGAACAACAAACGGCAAGAAGTGTGCTCCTTATCCATCTCCTTTCATAGCTTGTGTACGGGAGTTCAGTGTGAAGGCGGGGGCAGGGTCTGACAGATCCGTGTGACATGTGTGGGTTCCAACAGGAGCACTTTTCACATCTGCCTTTGCGCATGGAATTCATAGCGATAGCCAGAATGGGTGCCTATTCTCCAAGACCTCCAAGAATGATCAGTTTTTTGTCGCCCTTTCACCAACCGTGGGCTGCAGCCACAACTAAGACACTGTTAAAATAATTGTTGAGGCAGGGTTTATTTTCCTTTTTTCGCAACGGCTAAAAGCTACGGGGTTTCTGACATAAGCTCCCGAGCGGTTCTGGGGGGGGGGGGGTTGCTGTTGGGGTTACCTCCTGCATGGGCTTATATTCCTCATTTGGAGGTTTGTATTGCATGTTTCTTCTTGAGGGGGCCTGGTGGAAGGACAAGTCACTGGCCAGGTGCATCGTTTGGGGGCCGCCGGTGGTGAAGCGGAAGCAGCCCGACTGGCATTCTGTGGGTGCCTTGCAGCCGGAGCAGAAGGCTTTTCGGCAGACATAAGAACAAACGAGAGATGAGGAAGCGGAGGGGTTTCAAGCCACTTCCAAAAGCGGAGGACATCAAGGCTGATTTTGTGGGGGGAAGGCAATGATCTACAAACAAATTGTCCAGTTTCCGGTCGATTTCTCTTAGGATGGTTGTTGTGTTTGCAGTACAACAAGGCAACTCTTTAGGTGGGATATGTCACTTCAGGCACAAAATTGCCAACCTCAAGAAACGGAGGTCTGAAGTTTATGCGACAAGCTGATTGGACGGGCCACGCTTCCGCCATGAGAAAAGTGCCTTTGAGGTTCGAGGAATGGTTTGGTCAGTGTAGCCAACTTCTGGACATGTTGGTATGGACTGTTTCAGCTTCATGTCAGCTCTCGCTTATGCTTTTCGCTTGTGAGCTCGTTGCAAAACCTTAGTCAGCTAGTGTGTGGCACGCCAGCGAGAGCCAGCAGCACACAACGAGCTGCAGACAAGATACTTTGTGTTCATTGACATCAACATGCCACACAGCGCATCATTTGTGTTTGCCGAGATGACGGCACCAGAGTCAAGCATGGTGCAAGCTTTTAATGTTCCGAGTCCCAAGCATGGGCACTTGTGTATGCGCGTGTGTGTGTGTGTGTGTGTGTGGGTGTGGGTGTGGGTGTGGGTGTGGCTGCCTGCCTGCCTGCCCGTCCGTCTGCCTGTCCGTCTGTCTGCTGGTCTGTCTGTGTCTGCGTCCGCGTCTGTGTCCGCGTCTGTATGTCTGTGTGTCTGCGTGTGTGTCAAAGCCGGGGACCCTTGCAGTGTGTCAGTGTGTGTGTGTGTGTGTGTGTGCGTGCGCGCCTCTTTACATGATTTATTTGTTCATCCGTCCAAACAGAGACCCTATAGTTGTGATCCCTGCGATGTCACTCTCCCGGAGCTTCTGGCTAGGGCGTGAATCTGTTCGTCAAGGTGGCACCTTGGACAGCATCGAGTGCGCAACCGTGGGGACCCACTTTGCCCTGACTTATGGGTTTGGCACACTGTTTCTCTTGTTTTTTGTCCGAGATATACAGTAATGATTGCTGGCATTACCGTTCTATGAGGCTCTCTCCTCCGGATGCTGACGGTACTCTCCTCCCCAGAGCAACACAAAAAAACAAAACAGATACTTACAACACAACAAACCGCCGAGGAGTAAACAATAACTCCCAAATACTAAATATGAATCAATATCACAAAGAATATTGTCCACAGACCTCTTACGGGCCTCGCACAGATCAACATTGCAAGTTTTGATGTGGCTCTCACGTATGCCTTTTGACTTTGGTTTTGCAAGCTCAATCGCTTGCCTTGAATCTTCTATTTCAATTCGTTACGTGGAACATGTTGCGATCCCGTTGTGTTTGTGCCCAGGCAAGGGTGGAGCACAAAGACCGAAGGGACAGCCTTGCATCCAAATAGATGTTCGACAGAGCGAAGAGTCGCACACGCTTCGATGGTCCTTCCCACAGGCCATGCCCCGATTGCAAACCAGTCATGTCGAGAGTCGTCTTGAAGAAGGGCACAGCCATTGTGAGTTTGTCTTTCTGTTTTGGAAGTACCTGGCATCTCAAATGCAGGTCCTCATGCTGGCTCACATCCCAACCACTAGGATATTCCGGGACAGGCCCACAAGTTTCTGTTGGGACTATGCAAAGTCGGTACCCGATTACTCTTCTTGTCCAGTACTTCTTTCTTCTGAGTACTAAGTTTTAAGAAAGCAGGACAGTTTATCCAAACCATACCCATGCCCCAAACTGCCAATTTCCTTGCATATCCTTTATATATGCGGAAGTGCCCAGCCTGCAAATTTCCAAGGGGGTAGCACATGCTCCCCCAAATCCGCAACAGTGGAAATGAAAAAGGGGTACCCAATTGTGCAATTGGTTGCAGGCCGCAAAAAAACAAACACTACTAAACCAATTCAAAGCCAGGACTAGGCAGAAGAGGACCGAAGACAACCGAAGACAACCGAAGAGAACCGAAGACAACCGAAGCAATACTAAGCCAATATTGAACTAATACAAACCAATACTAAGCAAGGACCAAAGCACCACGAAGTAATACCAAACCAATACTAACCAAGACTAAGCCAGTACTCGACTTGGGACAGGCCAATTTGACCCCCACAATGTCTTACCGGATTTCTCCATTGGGCCTCCAAAGATTGTTTGAGGGGGGGCCTTTGTTACTGACGCACCCACATTAATGCATGAAATGAGGTGGAAGGGGGATGCTTCAGTCGCCAGTCAGCATGGCTAAGGTGAAAGTGACGGAGGTGCCGCACCCAGCTTGAGCGGCTGGGCGTGTGGTCCGCGAAACTGTGTGAAATCAGTGCGACATCTGGGCTGAATCCCAAGATATGATAATTCAAGGCAACCATCAGGAACAATACGGTCAAGCATGGTACAACAAAGGAAGACCCTTGCTTCCCCATTTTCGCGACATTTGGGCAGTCAGCAGTAGCCGTGCGGTGAGAAGCGAGAACTTCCTCCAATTGTTCTTAGATCCTTTCTGCACGAGTCGATTTTGGTTCAAGATGTTTAACTAGTGGTCGTCCCGTTGGAAGCAAAAGGGATTGTTGGTCAGAGGTTGGCAGGGAAATCAACATCCAGGGGCCATCCATGGGCCTTCGTGACTGAACGCATTGGGAGGGCTGCAAGGCCTTCACTGCCTCGTTGCATGCAAGTCTATTTGGCACATGGCGCTCGATTTTCTCCTTGCGCTTCAAGCTATGCGCAGCCCAGCGGCGTAAATATGGACAACAGCGCCATGCAAGC